CAGAAGCCTGGCCCCGTCCACAGTGGCCTTGGCAGGAACCCCCCCTTCCCAGGCATGGTCCTCAGCCAAATGCTGGCCATGTGCTTGTCCACTGGACTCCAGGTCTGAGCTGGGGAGCCTGGAGCTTGGAACCTGGGACGGCTCGAGCTTGGGGGGACGGGGTTGGAAAGGGAGGCAGTCCTTATTTTGGGTCTCTGTGGCCCCGTGACTTTTCCTTTCCCTTCCTCCCTTCTCTCTTTCTTCTTAACAGCTTTATTGAGATGTAATTCGAATACCATAACATTCACTCATTAAAGTGTACAGTTGAATGGTTTCAGTATACTCAGAGTTGTGCAACCACCACAATCAATTTTAGAAAATTTTCATCACTGCGAACAGAGGTCCCGTACTCTCAGCAGTCACTTCCCATTTTCCTCAAACCCACACCCAGCCCCTGGTAAACCACAATCTACTTTATGTCTTTATAAATCGCCTATTCTGGACATGTTATGTAAATGGGATCAAACACTATACGGTCTTTTAGAACCAGGTGAATGCTTTTAAGGTGTATCCATATTGTAGTGTCTATCCATGCTTTAATCCTTTTTTATGGCAGAGTAATATTCCATTGTATGGATCTATGTGTCATTTCTTCATTCATCAGTTGGTGGACATTTGGGGTAACTTTCTGGCTGTTATGAACAATTCTGTGATGAACAGCCATGTATAAGTTTTTGTGTGGGCTGGTGTTTTCATCTCTCGTGGGTAGATACCTCGGAGTGAAATGGGTGGGTCATTATAGGATGCTAACGCTGTGTACCCTTTGAGGAGCTGCCATACTGTTTTCCAGAGCAGCCGTTCCACGTTACATTCCCACCAGCAATGTATGGGGGCTCCGGTTTTTCCACATCCTTGCCAACACTTGTTATTGTCAGTCTTTTTTATTATAGCCATCGTAGTAGATGTGAAGTGGTATCTCATTGTGTTTTTGATTGGCTGTTCTTTGTGTGTGTGTGTGTGTAGCTGTCTTTTCTTTTGTCTTTCATGTATGTCCTACACATGTATGTATATAGACATGCACTTACGTGTATTCAGGTATGTATGTCCTGTAGAGCCCAAGTGGGTGGGAAGCCTCTGCTGTGGATCTGCTTCTCTTTTTCTCTCTTCGCTGTCTGTCTGACTGTGTCACGGAGCCTCTGGGTTCATCTCTGTCTCTCTCTCCCCCATGGTGTTATCTATGCGTGTCCTCTGGTCCCAGCTGTTCAAACAGGGTGTGGATCTGTGTACACACTGGTGGGGGACATCTGGCCTTTCATCTGTGGCCCACCCCTCGCCCCCTCCAGGGATGTTGCCTCTGCAGACAGAGTTTGTGGGTGAACTCTGAGATCAGCCTCCCTCACCCCTTCAGTGTAGGCCCTGCCCACCCAGCCCATCCTGCTGTTAGGTTAGGCACTGGGGGTGATGCCCAGGAGCCCGCAGTTCGCATTTCCCTATTTTCACGTATGTAAACAGGCCTCCTCCCCTGGCCTGTGGGACAAACCCATCTGGGGTGCTGGGGCTTGGATTTGGGGGGGGAAGTGGTGTAAGAGGGGCCCCTGGCTTAGGAGTCATTTTTCTGAGAAGTGCCAGTGCTTTAGGGAAGCGGCTTTTCCTCCCCCTCCCTGCTCCCCTCCAGCCCTCATTCTCTGCATCTTGACCTCAGGTAACCCACGCTGGGGGAAGGCGCTCAGCTGCCTGCCTCTGCTACAGGGAACCTTTGGGGTGGCACCGTAGACCCTTTACCCGCAGGACTGTGGGTGAGAGGCCTTCTGCGGCTCTGAGCTCTGCCCCTGTCTCCCCAGCCTGGCTGTGCTGTCCTGCCACCCCCAGCAGCGTCTGGGCCCTGCTCCCAGGCTGTCTCTGCCAGCCAGGCATGGTGCCAGCTGTCTGCTCAGCCGGGTGCCACAGGAAAATCTCCGGCCGCCCAGGTTGGGGAGCTCCACGGGGAATGCCCGTGTGCCCGCTCCTCTGTGCCCACTCACCTGTCTTTCCTCTCTCTGCAGCGTCACAGGACATGGCCCCCCCAGCTGCCTAGCCGGGGCCCACCTAGGAGAGGCATCCTTTTCGGCGCCCGGAAGGCCAGCTCTGGACCTCCCCAGGAAAGTGCCAGCTTGCAGAACTGCTTGACCAAAGGACCAGCTCTTGGGACGTCCCCCAAGCCCTGGCCCCCAGCTAGCGTGGGGGCTCCAGGCGGCTGAGATTAGCCTGCTAGCCTTGGACAGCAGCCCCAGGACAGAAGGGGGGGTGGGCTGACCACCCCAGCCCCCTTCGGGCCCAGGCCCCATGCCCCGAGGAGGGGCGGCCTGAAGCCCGCCGGAGCCTTCCGCCAGACTGTCTGCCTGCCTCCTGACTGTGGCTGCTGGGCATGGCCAGCAACAGCAGCTCCTGTCCGACACCTGGGGGAGGGCACCTCAATGGGTACCCGGTGCCCCCCTACGCCTTCTTCTTCCCCCCGATGCTGGGTGGACTCTCCCCGCCAGGCGCTCTGACCACTCTCCAGCACCAGCTTCCAGTTAGTGGCTACAGCACACCCTCCCCAGCCAGTAAGTGGGGTGATGGGAGGCTGGGTGGGGGAGCCCTGGAGGGAGCAGGCCTGGGGGTTGGCCTCTGGGTACATCTGTCCTGCTGCAGCAGCGAGGTCTTCTGCGGACAAGGGACACATCGTTTGGGGGGCTCCAGGAGGAAAGGCTTGTAGGCTGATCACGTGGTTGTTCGATGCTGGGGCCGCGGAGGGAGACAATGTTGTTCCGCGATGCCCCCCAGCCCTCTTCTGTGCCGAGTCTTTGAGGACCTTATAAATAGCTCCAAGGACTGGACACACAGCCTGCAGGCGAGTAAACAAACCTCTCGACATTTGGTGGAAATGGCAGCTCTACTGAGAGCAGCACCCACCTACTCCCCACCCCATCCAGCGTCTCTGAGGGAAAGGGCTTGACGGAGTAGAGAGGGGCAGGCTGCTGGAACCCCCTCCCAGGGCCAGCTCCGCCCCGTGGGGAGGGAGAGAGGGAGGGACCCAGCAGCAGCCTGGGGGATAGGGCAAGTGTCCCAGGAGGGGCGCTGGGCTTGGACGCTGGCTGTGGACACATGCGTGGTCTTGGCAGGGCCTGTGTTTTCTCTCTGCCTCCTCCCTCTGCCATGGGGGCTGCCTGTTTGCTGGACGGGGGTCTCAGTACCCTTCCCTGGCTGGCCGAGCCAGGTAGTGGGAGGTGGCGGCGGCTACGGCCAGCTGGCAGAGTCCAGGCCTCGGGCCTGCCAGGCCGCTTACAGTAACTCTGGCCCCCAGGGCCCAGCTGGGCGCCAGGCCAGGGCTGGGGGGGAGGAGAGAGCAGAGCCGGGGCCTGGCCTGGGGCTGGAGGAGGGGTGGAAGCAGCAGAATAGACCGTGGACCGGCATGGACCAGCAGGCTGGTGGGTCAGTCGCTGACCTGGGAAACGTGTCCCACCTCTCCTGGCGGGCAGGGACTGAACACCCTGCCCTGGGCACCCACTGCCCCTCCCGCAGCCACTGGCAAGCTGCCTGGCATCACTGCCCTGTGAGCCTGGTCTGGCGGGGTCAGTGCCCCCTTCTCGGTGCGGGGGCAGCGCGCTCTCCCCAGAGCCAGGGAGTCTCTTTGTCCCTGGGGCAGGCCCTGGCTGGGCGCCTCACTGCCCGCACTGGCCCAGTGCCCACCACCACCGCTTCCTGGTGGCCGCCTCTGGCTCCGCCATGGCCCCCTTCCTCCCAGGCCCCACCAGCTGCTGGGAGTAGGAGCTCTATGCCCGTGCCCCTTTAAACCCTGGGGCAGGGGGGCAGTCAGATACTGCCTCAGTTTCCACCACCACCCCTTCTCACACCTCTGTCTTCTGTTTCCTTCCTCTCTCCTGTCTTCCTCACATAGGATGCGAGGCGGGTGGCATAGTGACCTGGGAGTCGGAACCGATTCTGGCCCGGCTTTCCAGTGGGTGCCAGGTGATGGCGAGGCCAGTCCTTGGGTTCAGGGTTGCCAGGGAGTGGGTGGGTGTGGCTGTGGTTCCCAGTATCATATGGGGTAGTTGCTGGGTAGTTGCTGTGTCTACAGGGACTGGGGCTCCTGTTTCCACCTCGGATAAGAGCTTCTACTTCCTGCAGGGTGGGGTTTCTTTAGGGAAGAAGTCGGGGGCTGTAACCTGGTGTCTGTGGACAACTTGTCCTTCCCCAGGTGATGGGAGCAGAGGCCCCGACACTGCTCCCCGGGGGCCTGGCCTCACTGAGGGTGGGAGGGGGCCTGCCGCTGGCCCTGCCCTGCCCTGTGCCAGGGGAGTGCATGCTTTGCCCTCCTCTGAATGTTGCAAGCTTCTTCCTCTTTCTCAGAGGTGGGTGGGGAGGGCTTCCGGGTCCCCACTTCCCACCCTGGTAACCTTTCCCCCCAGGGTGGGGTGCCCACATTTCAGGCAAGTAAAGGCTTCTCTGGCTTTCTCCACCCAGGTTAGGCAATGCCCCTTCCTGCCCCCTCCCTGCGGGAGCCTGTGGCTTTCCCTGCTCCTCTCCCCCTCCTCCTCATCAACAACAACAACAACAACAACAGCGACTCTTCCTACCCAGATCCCCTGCTTCCCAGCTTCTCCCTAACCTTCCCCTTTCCTGGGACCATCTCCCTCCTTCTTATGCAGAGCTGGGGGCCTGGCTCTCAGCTCCGGGTAAGGAAGCATGACATCAAAATTCCCATGCATGGGGCAGCGCCGCCCTCCCTGCTGCCCCTGCTGCCCCATTCCTACAGGGAGCCCTGATGGGCTCTGACCCCCTGCCACCCTTTTGTAGGAAACCTCGCTGATGAGGCTCCCTCCTCCCACTTCCACCAACAAAGGTGTTGGGACCTTCCCTCCCCACCCCCCCATCCTTCTCCCCAAGAGGAGGCTGGGCCCTGGGTGCCTTGGGTGTCCCCTTCAGAGACCTGGTGGCCTATGGAAGGACATAAATATTCTTGGGGTATTTGCCCTGCTGGTCTCTCAGGAAGGTCCCCGAGATGGTACAGGATTCTCTACCCCAGACCAGCCCCTGGGGCTCGGTCTCCTGCGAGGACTGGTATTTGCTGTGGAGGGCTGGATTCTGTGTGCATTGTGGTGAGGGTCAGGGCTGTGTGTGCTTAAGGGATTGGTGGGGTCAGGGTTGGGTGTGTGCTGGGAAGGGAGTTAATGGTTTATGTGTATTGGGTGAGGGGGTCACAGAGTTGAGTGTGTTTTGGGGAAATCCAATTGGGGGAGCTGGGGAAGGGGTATCACAGCTTGTGTGCTGGAGGGGCCTTGATTTAGGGCATAGAGGGTTTCAGGGGGAGTGGTCTGTGGATTATGCTGTGTGTTTGGGGAGGGGAAGGCCTCTAATTCTTATCATCTAGGCTGGAGGGGAGACTAACCTGCCTTTTTTGTTGCTCCCCCAGAAATTCCTCTGTGGGGTAGGGTAGTTTGGGTTCAGGCTTTGTCACTAATCGATCTGATAACCTCTCTGAGCATGCTGCCCCGGCTGTAAAGCAGGGATATTACCAGAACTCCCTAAGAGGGCTGAGATCAGGCCAGGTGGTCATTGCCGTCTAGTTGTGGTCGCACAGCTATTGTGACAGTGAGAAGGGCCCCGGGCCCTCGTAGGGGGGTTGCTAACCTCCTGTGTGTGGGACTTTATCTCTGGTCTACAATCTTCATCCCCCAATCCTGGGAGAGGGACACTATCTCCATTTACACTTGAGGAAGCAGCTTTGATGGAGGGTGTGACTGGGTTCAGTGGCTGGGAAAGTTGGGCTGTTTTCCAATAACTGGATTGGCAGCTGTGGGAGAGGGTATTTTGAGGGGCACTCCTGGGAGTGGGAAGCCCAGAGGGGGCAGCGGCTCTGCCGAAATCCCCCCTCGGCTGAGGCCCTGCTTCTGCCTTTGGAACTCCCGCCGTTCCCCGGTAGGGGGCGAAGGCAGCACCCCCAAGCCTCACCCTCTCTTTCTCTGTTTTGGATTCTGAAGGCTGGAGGGAGAGAGCGATAAGAGGCCTGGGCCAGATCTCCATCCTGTCCTGGAAGCAGCGGATACAATCTGTTCACACCCGTCCCGCGGCGCCCCAAAATGAGTCTACCCACTGCCGCCCGCGGGAGTTCGCAGAGCTCAGCAGGCAGCCTTCCCCCATCTCCAGACAGACACTGTAGGAACAGAGTGTAAAAACCACAGTTCATATTCTTATTTTGTTTCAATGTGTGGGGTGGGGGCGGGGAAGCTGGAAGCAGTCAGTAGAGGAGCCGGAAATGGGAGCCCCGAAAGATCAGCTCAGTCTTTTCCTTGCTGTCCCCTATTCGCTGTGTGCGCCTGGAGACTGGGGCATGGCCCTAGGGCCTGGGACCCTGGGGAGTCAGAGGAAGGGGTGTGCCCTGCCCCTCTTTGTCTCCTCTGCCACTCTCCCCCCATCGCAGGCTGCGTCCTCCCTCCCTCCCTCCTGCCTGCTCTTTCCCTGGACAATAGGAGGGGCAGCCCTGGACAGGGGGAAGGGGTACAGCTAGCGACGATGCCTTTCCTGGGATCCAAAATGTAGAGTCAGCCAAGACAGTTGGATGGGATTTTGAATGAAAAGGGGGCCCCTCACCTTTTATCTGGCGGCATTAATAATGCACAGACCCCCTCTGGGCAGGAGCCCAGCAAGGGTTGGGGGAGGGACTCCGGGAAGGAAGCCTGCCCTCTTAGACTGGCCAAGGCCTGGGACATGGTAAGGGCTGTGCGTCCGTGGGGATGTGCCAGTGAAGGCCTGACTACTCTTCAGGGGTAGCCTATGTAGAAAGAGGAAGAGGTTTCCCTTCTGCAAATGACTTTGGGGTGGTGCCCACACCGCCGTCTTCCTCCTCCTCTTCCTCCTTCGTGGAGCTGGGCCTCCCAGGGTGGACTGGAGGCCCTCAGCCCTCACCAGATCAGAAACAGAGGCCCTCCCCTCCCCATTTTGACGACTGGGTCCTGGGAACCTCAACCAGCCCACAGACCAGGGCTCTTGTGGGCAGCAGTCTTACAGGAGAGCTCTTCCTGTTTGGCCTTGGGCAGGTCACCCAAACGCTCTCTAAGTCTGTTTCCTCCTCTTTAAAGCAACACTCCTCATCCGTCTCTGGCTGGGCGGGTTGCTGTGAGGCCACGGTGACCTGCTTGCGGGTGCAGGCTTGGGTGAGCTTCCAGTGCCCTGGGAGTGATGAGCAGCGATGCTGAGGGGCGGGTAGAGCCAGGAATTGTCTTGGGGGATGGCCACCCCGTACTGGGACCTGATGTCCGTCTGGTTCAGAGCCTCATGATTTCCTGTTTATTATCCTCTCCAGATGGGGTTGGGGACAGGAGGGAGCCCTGCCTGGCACAAGTGGGGGCCAGTTCAGTTGAGCCCACAACTGCTGAGGGCCTGCTAAGCACACAGCCCCAGGGGAGCTGTGGGGGCTGCTGCAGGAGGACCCCAGGCCAGCAGCTGCCAGCACCCACCAGCGGGCTGGCCTTCCTTTCCCCATCTTCTCTCTCTGCCCCAGGACACTGTGTTCGGCTCTGACCTGTCCCATGACCTTGCTGTCGCCCAGAACCGGCATCTCACC